AAACTATGATCCATTCAGTTGAACATTTTTGCATTTTCCCCCTTATTTTGGCTTCACTATTGCTCGTGTCTATGAATGGATAGATTGGAGAGAGGCCAGACAATGTAAAACGATGATCCATTTAGTTGAGGAAACATGGGCCCTTTGGCTTTACTACTGTTGATGTCTGTAAATGGATAGATCATGAAACAGCTAAAGTATGATTTGTTGCCATACATAATACAGGGTGGGCCAAAAAACCACCCCCTAGCCAATATTCCTGATAAATATTCAATTTTTAACAAACGCACCAAAATGATATATCATTTTAAATATAATTTAATTTGCAAAAATTAGTACCGTGGGTACTGGGCTCACATGGTGACAGAAAATAAAAAAAAACGGATATAAGTTTTTGCTGATTTTTTGTAACAAAATTATTTCAAGCCACTTGCCACTATTTTGGACTGACTGAGAGACAGATGGACAAATCGATGTTAAGTAAAATGGCTGAAAAACTGATATAATTTTTTTGCCAATTATTTGTAACAAAATTATTTTATACAACTACGCTTTACAGTGACATGGCTTTTTGCAATGCAAGACACCTGAAATTATTTGTAAGGCTAGGAAATGGGCCAACATTGAATTTCGCGAGACAAAAATGGCGACCATTTTGAAATCAGGCAAGCTTTTGAACCAGGAGTCATAGGGGAGTTTTTTGTATTGATGTTGAACAAAAATAACTTGAAACCGGAATCCTATCGACAGAGGTTTTAAGCAAATGGTCCAAAAGAGGATTTCGCGAGACAGAGGGACAAATCAATGTTAACTAAAATGGCTGAAAATAAAAATACGGATATAATATTTTGCCGATTTTTTGTAACAAAATTATTTCATACAACTATACTCTTTACAGTATCGTGGCTTTTTACAATGCAGGACAGATGAAATTATCTGTAAAGCTAGGAAATGGGCAAAAAGTGAATTTCGCGAAACAAGAATGGCGACCATTTTGAAAATAGGCGAGCTTTTGAAGAGTCATAGGAGAGTTTTTTGTATTGATGTTGAACAAAAATAACTTGAAACTGGAATCCTATCGACAGAGGTTTTAAGCCAATGGTCCAAAAGAGGACTTCGCGAGACAGATGGACAAATCAATGTTAACTAAAATGGCTGAAAATAAAAAAAACGGATATAATATTTTGCCGATTTTTTGTAACAAAATTATTTCATACAACTATTCTTTACAGTGACGTGGCTTTTTACAATGCAGGACAGATAAAATTATCTGTGAAGCTAGGAAATGGGCAAAAAGTGAATTTCGCGAAACAAGAATGGCAACCATTTTGAAAATAGGCGAGCTTTTGAAACAAGAGTCATAGGAGAGTTTTTTGTATTGATGTTGAACAAAATTAACTTAAAACGGGAATCCTATCGACAGAGGGTTTAAGGCAAATGGTCCAAAAGTGGATTTTGCGAGACAGATGGACAAATCAATGTTAACTAAAATGGCTGAAAATAAAAAAATTGATATAATTTTTCGCTGATTTTTCGTAACAAAATTATTTCATACATCTACTCTTTACATTGATATGGATTTTTACAATGTAGGACACTTGAAATTATTTGTAAAGCTAGGAAATGGGTCAAAACAGGAATCCTATCGACAGAGGTTTTAAAATGTGCCACTTTTATTTACGGAAAGTGGATTTCGCGAGTCAGATAGACAAATCAATGTTAACTAAAATGGCTGAAAATAAAAAAAAATGGATAGAATTTTTCGCTGATTTTTTGTAACAAAATTATTTCACATTGACATGGATTTTTACAATGTAGGACACCTGAAATTATTTGTAAAGCTAGGAAATGGGTCAAAAGTGAATTTCGCGAGACAAAAGTGGTGGCCATTTTGAAAATAGGCGAGCTTTTGAACCAGGAGTCATTGGGGAGTTTTCTGTATTGATGTTGAACAGAAATAACTTAAAACAGGAATCCCATCGACAGAGGTTTTAAAACGTGCCACTATTGTTGACGGACGGACAGACGGACAAGTGAGTGATTGCAAAAGCTCACCATGTGAGCTAACAAAATGATATATAATACAATAATTCTAAACAACCCTGGCTCGAGATATAATCATTTATGTGACACGGGGGTAAAAAACACCTTTTCACCCTCATGTCACATAATTGGTTATATCTCTAGATAGGGTGGTTGAAAAATTTTCAATTATATATCATTTTGTTGCAAATTAAATTTTTCTTCAAAATGATATATAAGTGTAGGTGTGTTTGTTAAAAAAATTAATTTATCAGGAATATTGAGTAGGGGGGGGGGGGGGGTTGGCCCACCCTGTATGTACACATTGATTCTCTCTATTCACTGGTAATTATGTAATTATGTACGTATTCTAAAGCTATATGGTATCCGATGTCACAATAACTATTCACTGATTTGTTCTTGGATTATGTATGACTAATTTTCCCAACGAACGAAGTTCTGTAGGGATATTGTGAAGCCCTTCATCAGAAGAAGTAAGAAGGAAACAACAGCAACTACAAATAGATTTTCAAGCTGGACTGAATGATGATGACATGAACAGCATATAAATAAGACATCTGTCCGGAAAATAACTCGAATAATAGTCGACGGATTTTCTCCATATTTGGTGAAAAGATGAATATTTGTGAATAGTTTTACGCAAAAATATTATTTTCAGGATGAACGGCGTTTCGAAATTGGCGGGAACTTTTCGCAAAAATTTAAGGCTTTTATTGACACATATTATGGAAATGCTTCAGTTTAGTTGTATTTGTTACCTAGTTCTTATGTACAAAATAGTTCGTAAAAATCAGAAATCATGAGATAAAAAGTAATAAAACACAAACGGCATACTTATTTCAGCCAGAAATCACTAACTGTGCCCATACACAATTTACTTCGAATGAACATTTACCTTGAACATCTCTGATTTGGAGTAAACGTGCTTCGGAAATTCGCAAACGTGCCATTTCCAGGTTCAGCCTATTTAAAGCACATATAACCCGTAAAACGTAATACGTAACTGAACTACACGCTCGCGTGGGCCTACAAACAAGTTTTTATGTCAGCCGTTCTTTGAGAAAACGATTACTTCGAAAATAATTCAATGGTGACGTTTCAAAGCTCATATATAAAAATGTCAAAATCAAAATTTAGTTCTGTAGTTATACAAAATAAAATATTAACATCCTGATAGACTGGTAGACGTAGTGCATCATTTTCAAATCATTTACATGCATCTCTAACACATGAACATGTATTTTTATTAAGTTACATCTCAAGTTGCAAAATTAAACTAGATAACGGCAACTCCGCGGAGTAGCAAATCCCAACGAACAAAATATCAATTACCGAATTCCAATCAATTATACTCATTACTTTGGTTGAAAATGAAAAAATTAGATTTTAGAATGGCGAATTCCTGCAAAGCAGCCATTTTGAATTTCCTGAGGTACAAATCAGAAACATAATACCATAATTGTGATCTACTCCAAAATTCCTTCAATTTGAGTATAATATAGCCATACTTTGAAGGGATCGAAAAATTATTGCGAAATCGTACATTAGACAGCCATTTTGAATTTAACGAGGCTCGAATCAGAAAAAAGATACAATATTTGCAATTTACTCTTAATTGTCTTTCATTTGAGTATAATAAAGCTATACTTCAGAAAGATCTAAAAATTAGTGAAAATTTCTGTTTTCCTGTCCCCCCATACATGGCCCCTGGGGGTCAGGATGAAAAACACGGAATATATGTGAAATAGATAAATGTTGTGAATACACTACCAAAATTTCAAACAATAATATTAATTACTTTGGTTTAGAATGAAAAATTTATGATTTTTGCGAAAAAGTCCCGTCATTTTTAAAGCGGCGGCCATCTTGAAAAAAATTTTTTTTGCGTAAAACTATTCACCAATATACATCTTTCCACTAAATATGAAGAAAATCTGTCAACTAGTATTTGAGTTATCTTCCGGACAGACGGACTGACGGACAGACGGAGGGCTTCACTATATCCCTAACGAACTTCGTTCGTTGGGATAATAAACGATAAAACGAGGCCTTTACATTCGCCCGTTTGTTGCACTATATTTTACTTGAATAGAATAAAGAAGTATTATAATACCTGGTACAGCGGTACTTATTTTATGCAGTACCAATACTATTACTCTTAGAATTTCATTCACGAACATAAGATTTTTAAATGATATCTTGTATGACAATGTGTTGGCAAGTTGGCCTCCAACCTGACATATTTGATTGACCTTTATCACAGGTCAAGGTACTAATGAGATGAAATCTATGTTCATCTGTGAAAATTAGGTGTAATAAATATCACATGTTTTTGACACTATATTCTCGTATATATTATATGAAATAAATCATATTGGACACTATTTAGTGGAGGTTTTGTTATATTAATAAATACAGAAAAAATTAAATATAGAAATATAGAAGGAAATTTCACGAGGTTGAACTATTGACTTGTATACAGTTAAACCTGTCTATGTTGAACATTTTTTTGTTGAGAAAAAATGTTCAGTATTGGTAGATGTTCATTACAGAGAGTAATTTATACCGAAGTCAGTAACATATGTGTGGAGGAAGGGTGTCTACTAGAGACAGGTGTTCACTTGAGATAGGTGTTCGCTGAGACAGATGTTACTGTATTGAGTGGTATTCAATTTTTCATGGAATGCTCTAAAAGTCAACTACCCAATATGTGTTCTCCATATAGGGGGTTAAATGTTAAGAAAATGATTTGGAAACATTGTGAACAACTGCCTTCTTGATATCATCCCTTAAATTAATAAACCTCAGTAACACAAAAGAGCTTGTAACTCATGGTAACAATCTTGTTATAGTAGAAAGTTTGAAAATGTTCTCATTTTGTTTGAACTGGACATTTAAACTGCCATATTTAGCTGTTGTGGGCTGTTCCATCTGCCTTTTATACCCGCTCTCAGCCTTTAAAATCGAAACAAACATGTGAGTTCCTATTTTGAGATCACAAAAATATTGTGTTATTCATAACCTATCATAGTCTGCGGTAAGTGCGGTTGGCCTATATTTTATTTACATCTCTATTTCATATTTACAATAAATGAGTCTCAGCATGCATGTACTTTCATGAGTACTAAAAATGTTATGTAAATCTACTTCTTGTCATTCTGTTGTTCAATGTCTTTATCCTCAATTATAGACCCTGCAGGTGTAAGTCCACCATTTGGCATCTTAGTAGCCCAGAATTGATCAACCTTTGATTGAATACTAGTGTTCTCATCTCGCCATTGTCGCTGCCATTGCCTAAGCTCTTGAACTTTCTCATCTTTGCGCACCTGAAAAATTTCATTAAATATCCTTTATTAGAGTAAAAATGTAAAAAGTAGAGATTTTGTGACAAAGCTGATTTTCCTTCGGATTACTATATTAAGAGGTTAGTTCTTGTCTTGCACAAATATGGAGCCTCTCAAGGTCGGCCTTTATTTGAAAAACTCATGCATATTTCACGTCATAGTGACATAACTGATGTATTACATACCTTCATTCCCATGGCTACTTTGTATCAAAGAAGTCACACATGTGTGTGTGAGTAGAATTTAATTGAAATGAAACATGACATCATGATAGTGATACTGTCATGAAACTGGTGACTGGTTATTTAAAGAAATGTAATGTCAAAACAAGGTAAGCGGGCTATATTGGGGCAATCGGGCAATATCCGTGGATATAGCCTGCTAACTTTCCGATTGACTTCCAAACAAATGCTTCGTTATGTAATAATTAGTACATATTTCACTCTACTTACGAGATATCCCCTCCAGCCAGCTTGTACTACTACTGCAGCCTCTTCATCAGTCCATAGGAGGGATAAGGGGAGAGGAGCTCTGGGACTACAAACACAATTAAAAGGTAATCTATTAATTATAAATACATAAGCATTATTGCAATCTTAAACCTGCAATTCAATTGTTTTTCATAGCCTGCTTTGTGCTTATTTCTATTCCAAATGTCTCTCTGTTCTTAATTTGACAAGACAAATTGAACCAAGCAAGACAAACATCCAGACATATTCTAATACAGTTTTCAAATAGGCCTAGACGAAACATTCATTTGGACTTTTATTCAAATGCTTTTAAAATCAGTAATTACTTCAATTATGGGGATACACAGTCCGGGTGATCCAGACACAAATTACACAGATTCCATCATATTTGAGAAAGTTATTCCAAAATTAGAGAGTAATGTTTTTTGGAGGTCACCCTGTACCTAACAAATATTTAGCCTCAGTTTCATTTTATATCCAAGGACATGATTCTGAGAATATCTGACACAATTTACTTACTGGTCTTTTAGCCATTCTTTAACAAATGGTATATCAAGCAAAGTCTCATCCTTCCTTTCTGCTTTACATTTGGGATTATTTCTGGAAATAGATATAATTAAAGTTAAAGTCGAAACTGTACACATATACAGGGTGGGCCATGAAAATGTCCCCTTGAAGTAATCATTACAAATGTCTTATATTAAAAGAGCATTTCTTCACCTATCCTGTGCTGAAAATTCCAAGATATTGCAATGAAAAATAGTGGCTTTTCTTAAGCTTTACAATATGCAAGATGTACATAAACAGATAAAGTCTCTACATCATACACAGTCTTTGTATTGTAATTTAAAGAGACTTTATGGACACCCTGTATAATGAAATAATTACTACTCACTTCATAATAAATAACAAATAAAAAAAATAGAATAATGGTAAAAAGGGTATCAGTTGTACTTACTTGTATAAATGTTCAGTGAGGAAATCTAATGCATTGAATTTGGTTCTTCTTCTCTAAAAGTAAAAGCAGATTCCAATAAATAATGTGAACTGATACAAGTACAATAAGTATAACCAACAATTAGCTGGGATAGAACAAGTCATACACCTCTTTTTTCCTGATAACTTTTGCAATTCCCAATAATTTTCCATTCTTTAAAGCATTCCTAACATACACAATCTTTTATTTCACTCATCATCAATATTCTTTACAATTTCAGCTTTTCCAAGTTAATGGCCATATTCTGCTAAGATACCAATTTTGCGTCTTTTCTTTGAAAATGATAAAATATCTTATTTTTCTTTCTGGAATATGCTATGGAGCACCCTGTACATGATAAATTGCTCTTTTATGACTTAAATTACCTCAAAGCATTTTTCTCTTTTGGCTTCAGCAAGCATAAGTTCCATGCCTGGTAGTAAATATGGGAATATGTAATGCTCCAGATACTCTCTTGGGGGGCCTGGAAGTAAATGTGTTTTATTAGAGTCATGCTTTGAAGAGAGGCTAATCCAAGCTGCAGTTACAGTAACAAGTACACAAACTAGTAATGATAGAAAACATATTTGATTGACACCCCCATTACTTATAGTTAGAGACAAATAATGATCAGTTAATTTTGCCTAAAAATTTGTGTCTAATCAAAAGGCAAAATATTTTTTTCTTCAATATTGAGCCTTTGAATATTTCCTATGAAAAGGTTGGGTCCTCAAATATCCAATGGTTACGCCCTTATATGATAATAGGCCCTTATATGATGATATATAAGTTGATTATGAGTGGCACTACTTACACGTGTCTTTGTCAGGTGGTGTTGGAGGACGTGGGGGAGTGGCAGGAGGGGGTTTGTCCATGAAGGCATAGCCCACACATGAAGGATGACCTGAAAAAATATGGCAGCTTATTTTTGGAACTACTGTATCATATTGTGTTATTGTGTAACCCATAATTCATCACAATTTTCTCAAAACACCAAAAAATCATTTAATTTATTTTCTGTTGTTCATGGTTTTTGATCCAAGCAAGATACATCATGTCATAGACTGCTTATCGAATAGTTCACAATTAACTCTACTTATATCTGAACTTACTTTTTGAAGGATCAAATGTTTTTATTGGGTTCTCATCAACTGATTGCTTTTTATGCATCTTCCCATAGAAGACAGGATTGTGCATAGCAGGATCATAATCCTGGAGCTCAGTGTGTACTGACATGGCATCATCATCCTTCCAGGGAGGCCGATTGGATGAGAATTCTGAAAAATATGATTTTATTTTTTGGCAGTTTTATCAAGGATAGAAAGTAGAGACCCTCAGTCATGAATCAAGGATTCGTAATACATGGGCTTTCAAGAGAAAGTTATGTAACTTCCCAAATTCCATACCCAAGAATTGCCTAGGGTTTTCAAAACTGGAGAATTGGAGAATTCAATCAAAAGAAAAATCTTATTAGTATTTTTCATGCATAGTACTAATTGAAGAAATGTCTCAAAAATAAAAGCACAGTTATATGCATACAGTACATGTTGGTAATATTTCAATACAAAATGGAATAAATCATTACGCAATGCCACTTAAATTATATTTTAATTGGAATGTGTTCCTGAATAATAACCCAAAATGCAGTACTCAAGAAAAAAGCTCAAGATTAAGAACTATCAGTAATGATTTTAACTTGATGATCATCTCTTTTACAAGTAACAATTCCGTCCTGGAAAACAAAATTACCATAATTTTGACTCTCTAGTCTCATCACTGGCTTTCAAGAGAATGTAGGATATTTGAATAATATTCATTTGTGATTATAATGATACAGAATAAAACGATGCTTCGAATGAGCTGTTAGTCTCAGGAATGACGAATGAGTTATGATTTGTCACAGAATGTAATGGGTGCACAATTATGAAATAAATAGAAAGAAATTTGGTGTCTCATCTTGAGGTATTATCATTGAGGTACTTATTCTACTACTATACAAACGATTGTGCAGGCATATATGCTATAGAGGACCAAAAAAGGATTTGATAAAATTCCCTTCTCTCAGACTCCTGTGATTCGTGAAATTAAAAAAAATCCTAAAAAATTCCAAATTAGGAATCCATTGTAAAATTTGAAGTATTTCTCTCGCGATTTCATCAATAAAATTTATCATAAATATGAATTAGCTTACAAACTTTAGTTTCTCTCATACCTTTACATATTTCATCCCATAGATTAGGCTCAGGAACATGAGTTATCACAGACATTTTCTTGTTGTTACACAGCCTAACAACATCAAAATAGAAGCTTTGTGTGCTTCCGAGGTCAATTATAAATCTCTAAAATCATAATCAGTATCGCGATAGAAAAAGTGATAAAAATACAAAAATCAGCATCATAAAAGGTATAGAAGGTATATTATTCTTAGTTGATAGTGTTATTTGTGCAATAGTTTATGAAATATGTCAAAGTCCAAACTTGGCGGATGGATATGATCTAATTGGAAACCAAGGTCAGGGTCATAGGCTAAGGGTTAAGTAATAGTAAGCTGTATATATAAGAGACAGGTCCACAAGTAAGATTGAAAATTATTCAAATTTTTTTAGTCTTGGCACTAGTTCTCCTTACTGGTATCAAATTTTATTCCAAAATTTCTCCAAAATCTTCTTCAAAGTGTTTTTCAAACTTATATCATTGTTTTTTCAAATCTTTATCTAAAAACTGCATATTATACTGCATATAAAACAACAACTATGGAAACCTACAATTGCCTGGCAAGCTGAAACTGATTGTCACTGGTGGAGGTCAGGGAGGTCAGCAGTGACCAATCAGATCACTTGTTTACTAATGAACTTGCCAGGCAATTGTAGGTTTTCAGAAATTCTCTCTTTTAGACAGCATTATTCACTCTATATCATCTGACTGAGTTTCAATCTTAGGTAAGAGCTACAAACTATCAATTTTATATCAACTCCCCATGGCTTTTTGAAAATAATACACTAAATATTTTTGAAATCTCCATCTTAACAAGTGGTCTAAGTCAGAGTTGTTCACCTGTCTCTTATATATACAGCTTACTATTACTTAACCCTTAGCCTATGGTCAGGGTCATTACACCAAACGAAACACAAAATTTACAATTCCTAGAAATTGTTTTTATCAATAATTGTCGATCTTTTGCTTGTCAATGAGGAAATCAAACTGATTAAGAATCTATAACCATATCCATGCTTTAAGGATATTACAAAAAATACTCTTAAGAAGGTAAAATTGAACATGTATAATAGCAATAGATGGCGCCCTTATAGCCGGCAATGCAACGTGTGAGGGTATTACAATCGATATTCAGGCATTTGACACAGAGGCGCATATTAAATATCCAATCATCGGGTTTAGAGCAATTGGTAAATCATTTGTCAACAGTAAAAACGTCACTTGGAAGGATGTCTTTCAGCACTGTCGAGAGGGGAGCTCCAAATACATTGGACTTCAGGATTTATTTTAGTAAGTTGTGTTATTCATTTCATTAGCCTATTTATCACATCAAATCATCATGTAAAATGTTCAAATTTCCAGGAAAATGATGTCAGTATTAGGCTAGCCTTGCTTATCTCTCAGCTACTGATAAGTTCCTCTGGGTTTTCATTTTGCTCACGTGACACGCCCACTTTCTCTTTTGACAGATGTTTTTTAGCCGTTTCACAAAAGGCATTGAAACATTAGACCACCTATCTTAGATCTAGTTATTACAAGACTTTAAGCAGGCAATGGCGTAGTGTCATATACGCATTAAATGCCATGGAAATTGAAATTTTTCGGTATAAAATCGCACGCAAGTGTCTTGAGAGTAGGCTACTTTAAGGTACAGCTGGAAATTAACATTTTGGTAAAAAATTGCTATACCAGCACATGTTATTTTCTGGTACAAAATAAAGTATGAAGACATGTGTCAATTGCCTTGCTTTTTTCAGGAAAGTTTCATTACATTGTCTTCTTTAAGAATATCTAGTAGGCGTTCAATGGGAACTCCAGGAAATTCTGATATTTCACACTTTCTATTTTTCCAAATTTTCTTTCAAAGTTTCCAGACAACACAGGAGCTACAATTGACCCGTTTCCAGGTTTACTAAAAGTAGACAGTGGAATGATACTTTCCTGAAAAAAGCAAGGAAATACACACATGCCTTCATACTTAATTTTGTACCAGAAAATAACATGTGCAGGTATAGCAATTTTTTACCAAAATGTTACTTTCCAGCTGAACCTTAAGTTCTATATAAAGAGTACATGAAATTATATTTAGATAAAATCAACAGAACACAAGCTGTTATTTTAATGGTATGTTTTCAAGAAAAAGATGCTCATTTTAATGGTTTTTTTATCCGAACATTATTTTTCAAAGGCTGAAAAAAGCGACAAGGCAGCAGCCTCATTTGCCTCAAAGTAGCTATGCGCTTGACTCCGTCGATTCTGAACACCACTATAGAAACATTCTTCCAATGACAAAAAAGTTTCTGCTGTCTCAAATTGCTACAATGTAAATGTAATAACCTTATACTTCAATTTTAAATCTCAGTATTTCAAAATATCTCATCAACATCAACTTTGAGAATTATTTAACTCTGAGTACATCACAGACACAGTGCTAGCGCAAGTCCGCAAGACCAATTTTCTTTTTAATCCCTGGGACACGAATCTTTTTAAAATTTGAGTCCCAATGAGTCCCAATATTTGACGCAAGTCATTCTTAAATTTTGAGTAGCTGAAACATTTTTGGAGTTATTTTAAAAGAAATTTGCCTGTAATATGAACAGTAAAACCTGTGCACATTATACTGTATAGCCACAGTGTTCACTGTAGCTAGGTGTTCACTACAGAAAGACATAATTTATACAGAAGACGCAGGTTTTCACTAGACACCCCAGCCTTTCAGTAGGTTCGCTTTAGGTGATATATTTAACTAGGATTTCTAGGTTCGCTTTAGGTAGTTCCCCATATAAAAACTCCATTGGTAGGTTCGCTTTAGGCGATGTTCAAATATGCTAATTAGGTCTAGGTTTACTTTAGGTGATCAACACTATGAAAAAGACATTCTGTTGCACATGTAATAAATTCTTACCTCAGTGAATTGAGTGCTCTATTTTCTCCGTCCTGGAACGTACAAATATAGTGGAATTTGTGTCCATAATGATAATTAGGAACTAACATTTGAAGTGATATTCACAATCACATGTTTATGCCGACTCTTCAAATGTTGAGGTGATTTTGGAGCCCGATTACGCCGCAAGGAGGATTGGCTCCCAGAATGCAGCATGACACGTGACAGCTTTCAAAATGCAACGCAAATTTTGTCCCATTTTTATGTCACAACCAAAAAGTTTTTTTGATGGCGGTTGGTGATCAGCGTCTGTAACAAATTCTTACAACTTCCAATAACTTAACAAATACTGTTTAAACTGACTTCAATTTTTTCAAAATCATCTACAAGTTATCAGAAGTTCAAATCTGACTTTAGATTTGAGATTTGACCTTTTTGACCTTTAGAAGGTTATTTTTTGAACTTGCTTCAAATTGACCAACTTTTTTTCAAAATCATATACAAGTTCTCAACAGTTCAAATCTGACTATAGATTTGACCTTCAATGTCATTCTTAAGGTGAAAAAGGTATTTTTCATTTTGCTTCAAATTGACCAATTTTTTTTCAAAATAATCTACAAGTTCTCAGAAGTTCATATCTGACTCAAGGTTTGAGATTTCACCTTCATTGACCTTCTCAGGGTCAAAAAAGGTCTTTTTTCAACTTGCTTCAAATTGACCATTTTTTTCAAAATCATCTACAAGTTTTCAGAAATTCAAATCTGACTTATAGAGATTGAAGTCATAATATTGTGAGCAAGTGATGACATTTTGTCAATGTCATGTTAATGCCTTGTTTGATCTCTAAAGCTCAAATGTGAATACCTGCCAATCTGAACACATTTGGTCAGTCCAGTTAGTATTCAGATTAAAGGTGCATTGTACTTGACTAATTAACACCCTTGGTATACGCAGCTAACGAAAATTGACCGGTACGGGTCAAAAGCTGGACTGGTACGGGTTAACGGTTTTATTTGAATTTAAAATAGCCATAACTTGCTCAATATTGACTTCCTCGTGTCTAATTTGAAATATATGATGCCTCCCGATGCTTTTAAGTACCCCAATTTTTTACAGATTTTTAAATGGACCAAAACTCTCTAAATGCGCATTTATGCTCTTTTCTCTCGAGAACGACTGTCTCATTTTCACGATAACTTTTATTTAGTACTTCTAACATACAAGATCTATTTTTCCCCATCAAGGTATGATGTAAATGACATGCTATTTATATCTTGTGAGTTTCAATGACGCGCGTTTGATTTTATAAAAAATGCCAAACTTTGTGACAAAGAATTTCATCCTGCTTGCAGCGAGAAGACGAACCGGTTCGGGGCAATCTGCTTGCAGCGAGAAGACGGACCGGTTCAGGGCAATAGCTGATGAAATTTCAATGAAATGACAATATCTCCAGTTCTATTCAGTATTTTTACACCAAATTCAGTGATAAAATACAATGTATAGGTCACGGGGCGTAGGTAATTTGCAGTTTTTCCCTAAAAACCGCTCTTACTTATCCGTCACCAGGGCCAACATTTTCCTCTTATATTCACGTCGGGAAAGGGTTAAAACATCAGACAACACATTTCCAGTTTTATAACAGATAATATCAAAAATATGTTATTTATTTGCCGATATCTGTCTTAATATTGTACATGTATATGTCTATTGTTAAATCAAAAAATAGGTAGGGTAAAGAATATGTCAAGGTTGTTTTGTCTCATCCAAGAAAGTAATTGAACTGCAATATTTGGTATGCTCAGAATTCCTTTAAACATGTTAAACAGGTTTTACTGTAGCAAGCATTACATTATAGACAATGTTCATATAATGTCATTGCCCCTGGAGCACTTCGGATCTTAAGAGCATCTTGTTTAGGTTTAAATCACTTAGTAAGTTAGCAGTAGTACAGTTGTTCTTATCTTACAGTTTAATTTTTATATGGTCTTTTACATTTGATTATTTCTGTCATTTATAATCTGAAGAAGTCGTTGTAATTTATTTTACAAAATAAGAGTTCAAAATCTGTACTTGAATTTGTCAGAACAGAAGTGGGAGTTTATTTGATTGATATGTATATGCATAAACTTTGAAACTATTGAACCCAAATAATACATTTACTAAACTGCAATTATTAATGTAGTTAATGATTCTGGTATATCTAGTGATTTAAACTGAAAGAAAAATAAAGAAATAGCAGAATGAAATTTAAATACCATTTCTTTTAAAATAAGTTGAAAGAAATAATATGGTTGATATGTATGTGCTACTAAGAGTCCTGCAGTTTTGATTCATAGATCTATAAACTCCAGAAATTGTATAAGATTATTGTACATTGATAAGTATAGCAGGTTCAGTATGTCTATCAAGTTTTCTTGACTTTCACTCTGATAATGAGGACTGTACTCAATCTCCTAGAAAAATTAAAATCTGTCTATGATTAAAGACATTAAAATGTGGTTTTCAGGATTGTAAACCTAATGCAGAAATCTTTCTTTGATGACTACAGAAGTACAGTAGAATCTAAAAATGTTTCTAATCTCATATGATTGTTATTGAATCCAAGCAAGTTAGATTAGGAGCCCATTACTCACTGATGCATTGAAAATTTTATTAGATATTTGAATTGATGCATCTTTTATTCAATCTGTTAAGTGGGGTAGAGAAAGTAATTTTTGCTATATGAAGTGTTGTATTAGAAAATCTAAATGTTTGTTCTTACAATGGTGGGAAGTTCATATATTCGAGATTAAAAGAAAAACTATTTTTGTCAATGTTAATTAATTATTTTCTAAAAACCTCTCAAACATTTTTTGGAGTTGTGAAACATCATATTTGGATGAATAAACCATATTTTCAAACTTTGCATGGGGCCTTTAAGCAGCACTGTATAAACTGCTGTGCCTGTGGTTGAAAAAGTTCAGCTACCTTATAGACACACCCTTGCCATTCAACATATTTAATATTTACAGTAAAAATCAATGGACACCACCTGTGTTGAGTACCAACATGTAATGAATGGGTATTATATCGATACCATTGTATTCTTTACATGATGTTTATTTAAATGTGTCTGAACCATTGATTACTTGTATGTAATTAGAAAATGCTGGTGTCGACACGTAGATCAGTTTCAGAAAATATCCCAGGGTTCGATCTTAGATGTAGCAAGTAGCAAATTTGCTATCTGATATGACATTTTGCTCCAAAAATTTGGTGGCTGGGAGCAAATGCTTGCTACCTCAAATTTGTGCAATGAATCCCAACCCTTCCATCTAGGGTCCCACGATACATTATGAAACGATACGATACATATCGAATCTCGTTACGAGCAACGATTCTATATATTTAATGTAATTCTGAAATTTTCGAAGATTCAGCTAAACAATTATGGCTATAATAACGAACGAATATTTGTTTGCTTTTTATTCAATATATCAAGATGAACTAACATTTCTAAATTACAAAAAAAGTAAAATCTAAGATTTAAGCAAATTATGAAGTATTACATGTATGTTAACAATATCTTGTATATCAATATTCGACAGTGCATATTGATATGCTCGTATCGTTACCAAATGAGCTGATGCATCGATGGATCGATGAATCGTGGGACTCCTACTTCCATCGTATAGAATCAACATTATGCCACATGCACGAAATTGCAATTCACACCTAACAGATAAATATTACATGTTTCATCAATGAATATGCTACGATATGTTTCCCTCCCAATTGATTATACTACCTTTATTGGAACTAGATGATTCATTCTCTTGTTTTCGATGAAAACATGCAAATTTCTGACTGAAAAACCTCGAATTCTCCTGCGTCGTTTCGTTCAGTGCAAAAAGGCGGGAAATTACCAGGGATTTTAATTACTACCTAGATATGGCAATTTGCTACTTGTTTTTGGAGAAGGTAGCAAATCCTTGCTACTGGTGAAAAAGTTAAGGTCACTCCCTGTATCCCCTCAGTTTGTGCTTGTTCTTTGGTTTGTGGATAGGTTTTGTGACTGACTAAATTAGGTCGTTGAAGTATGTGTGTGACAGGCCTACGTATCATATCAAAAGTTTCTCCAATTGTAATTTTTTTCACATTTTGCTAGACTCACAATTAAGGCCTTTTTGTATGTTATATGACACCTGTCTTCTATCAAAATATAAATGTCTGCCTTAACTTCCTTGCAAAATGTTAATGTTACATTGACAGATTTTAGTTGCTAGTCCTTACTTTGTCACCACGCCAAGTGGTGACATATTGTTACAACTTTTCTGTGGACAGCGTTTGGTGTTCGGCATTCGAAATCTATAACACTGTAACAAATGGCAGGTAGTGACATTTTGTATGTCAATACCTTGTTCTATTCATACAACACTCATAATAAATGATTGTTTACTTTTGCATTTCACCTAATGATTTATAGCTTGTCAAATTACAAAACAGTTAATTTATGGTAAACATATTAATGGTATGTACAGTAATATATTAAAAGTACATGTACTCTTTGGATAACATTTTGATAAAACAGAAGTATAAATTTACTCAATGTGGCTTCAATTCTAATTTTGCAGCTGTGAGAATTGAAAAGTGATTGAAAAGTTATATGTCTGAGAAATTCTGAATTTTGATTTTTCCTATTATTAATTATACTTGTCAATGTTCTCCCCAGGATTTTATCTCAAGTGGGTACTAAATTCTTATTCTCACAATTTCTACCAATTTGGTCAAAATATGCCTATTTTTATAATTTTTCTCATTTACAAGTGGGTGCAAATGGATTCTCAGGTGGGTGCATTCCTATTATTAAAATCTCTAGTGGGTGCAGCGCCCAGTTGCTTTAATGCTAGGGAGATCACTTCTTGCAGAGTGATCTGACAAATTAACCTGAACCACATATACATTTATCGTATGATCTGTAAAATGAAGCCATCTGATTGGTCAGTTCTTGTGCTGTACCAATCTGTATTGCTACTGAGATTGTTCCCGTTGATCATCTCCGTCGCAATACAGAAAATATTGGTACGGAGGGGACAATCTCAGTAGCAATACAGAGGATCACACGATAAAAACGCTATTGAATGATTTGAAGTGCAATACAGAATATATTCTGTCTCGATATTCTCGACTTCGTCTCGTTCCAATACGGAATTTTTCGAGCAGAATATATCCAGTATTGCACTTCAAATCATTCAATAACTTATAGTATTATATATATTATTATAATATTATATGCGTTTGGGCGCTGAGATTATGTGTAGAGACTGGCTCAGAAAATTCTACTGGATCTACCTAATACATGTTCCATGTTTTCATTGCAGATGGTCCCAATGGAGTAATTTCCCCATTCCATGACATTCCCCTAAATGGCGGTGCTGACAAAACTGTCTTCAATATGGTGGTTGAGGTCCCTAGATGGTCCAATGCTAAGATGGAGGTAGGTTTTGAACCAACATTTAGTCTTGGATATGTCCAAATATGGACAGCAATACCAAATATAGACACTCATTAGTATGTTTTTACCTCAGTAAGCTCCTAAATGAAGTAGCATTAATTTTCATCATGTGAGCCCACCAAATATATGTTATATACCGGTATATGACTTTATTTGGTATAATTGTATTGTATTGTATTTTATCCCATACTTGGACGTGTTACAGGTACATAAAGCCGGTTTGTAAAAACTTATATTTTCATCAGCGGGCAGATATAGCTTTACGTCCCGCTCCGAGCGGGCAGATATAGTATATCTGCCCGCTACGTCACAATCGCCGCTCGCATATTTGCTCATAATTTGTAACGTTCGCGTTATGACTGTAAACGACAATGGAGAAAACACAGACAATCGAGATCTGTTTGATGGTTTAAAAAAGAGAAGGAGCATCCACTTAATCAATCAGAAATTTGAGAAAATAAATGTGGGAATATTTGAGAGAACAGGAAAATCCGCCCACGGCCAAGAAAACAAAACTGGACATGAATATTCTAGAATATTTCCACGATTGAACAATGTTAACCAGATGACCAAGATTGGTATGGGATAAACATATTATCCTATAGTCGGTTCAGGATATTGGGATTATCCCTTGGCCAATATAATATATTTTCCCTCGGGACCTGCGGCCCTCGGGCAAATATATTATATTAGCCTCGGGATAATCCCAATATCCAGAACCTCATATAGGATAATCTCTATGTATTTTGTTTAGGACCAATGAATGTTAGCAATACTTCTTGGTATACAGTATACTGTATATACGGTCGCATTTTACGTACAATTAATCCTTGAACCTAGAAACCACTTTCATGTGCACTCATACATAGACTTACACACCACAGCCTTTTGTATGAGTAATTGACCACTCAGTCGAACAACCTGAAGTACTTTATGCGAAAAAATATTAAATTTTGCCTGAACAGGGACTGATTGCTTAATTGGAATTGATTTGGTTTATAGATTGCCACGAAAGAGAAATTGAACCCCATCAAACAAGACGTGAAGAAGGGAAAGTTGAGGTTTGTGAAGAACTGTTTCCCCCACCATGGCTACATCTGGAATTATGGAGCTATACCTCAGGTAATAGAATTCTTATTGATATTCTACAAAGAATTGTGAAGTTGTGCAATCCTAGAACTTATCCAGATATTTTAGGATAAATGTTCATAATTAGAATGAATCAGAATGAATTATTAATAAATCAGTATAATCAAAGGATTTTGGGGGAATTCTATCAATGTGTCGTCACTTAGAAACATTTATCAAGATTTTGTGGAGCATAAAAATTTACAAAATAGTTGTCTTCATTGTCATACATGATTGTCCTCAAACTTTCAGGACTTATCAAATTGTAATTGAATGATGCATCACAGTGGTAAAAAACCATAGGGATTGTTCTGGAAGAAACTTGTGTTTAAAAAACCTCCATTAGTTATTGATAATCCCTAAAAACCCTTCATTACATATTTTTCTGGGACACCCGATATGTTTAAATATATGTAATCTCTTTCTTCGTAATGTCGCAAATCATATACTGGTCATATTATTCATAAAATGTTTCATTTGTTATATAGACATGGGAAGACCCATCTCACACTGACACACATACTAAAGCTAATGGAGACAACGATCCTATAGATGTCTGTGAAATAGGAACTGTGGTAAGTTTTGGTTTGTACAAGAGTTGCCAGATAACTGTAAGAAAGCTTAGAATTATCCTGAAATAAAGTAAGGCCTGTTAAAAATAAGCATAACATAGATTAAGAGACAGTGAGAACAAAAAAATGCGACATTTTTCAATACTTTCTCCCAAATCATCTCTATCTTTGTGCTCCCTTTAAGCAGTTGAAGTACATTTATATTAATTTTGTTATAAACATAGAGGTAACAGAGGTGTTACACCACATTGCAGGTACACAAAGGGGGATCAGTCATCCAAGTAAAACCACTAGGAATATTGGCTATGATTGATGAAGGTGAGATAATCATGTACATTTAGTATATGCATCTGCATCGCTGAAGATTTATTTATTCAAAGAAGTGCTGATATTGGATTGAAATCCTTCCAAGTCTCTGTATCTCCACTACATCAATTTTAAAATACACGTTTAAAAACAATTGTTCAATTTTAGTGCCTGAAAAGTATGACATTTTTCATTGATAAATATGACTTTTGACCATACCTTCATGAATGTCAATTCATGTGAAATAACTATGTTTAGTGATCCATTGTGAATCATATACATGTACTGTACACATACTTTATTAGTTTAGTTCTTTAATTTTTAAAGTGTCTTTTTCTTTTGTACTTAAGGTGAGACCGACTGGAAGGTAATTGCAATAGATGTAACTGACCCACTAGCAGCTAAGCTCAATGGTAAGTCCCCTGTTCATCAATTTGTTAAAGAGGAACCATCTAAATTAACCCTTGAAGGACTGCATTGTATGACAGAATATTATATTTTAACAAGTTTAATGCCTTGTCGATGAGAGTAAGAGATGTCAAATTGAAAGTGTTCAAAAAAGTTTTAAGCAATCAAAATTTCAAATTAACTTTTTGGGGTTTGAGCACCAAATCTAGTGGATATACCCCCCAGTCATCCTATTAGGGTTAAGATTCACACTCAAATGGCAATCAGGAATGCCAATAGAGAAGGGTAATTGAACATACATATACAGTAAAACCTGCCTATGTGGAACACCTGCCTATGTGGAACCACTTACAGAGGTTCATTTAACATGAAGTCAGTTGGTCCTAGGACTCTGAAAAGTGTTCAACTAACATAGGTGTTCCACTTCTAGAGGTGTTCCACTTTACAAGTTCCACTGTACAAGATTTATAAAATTAATTTTGAATATTCAAATCATTATGAAGAGTGAAATCTCAAATATGATTTAGAGAAAAAGAAGAAAAATGAAACCTGCATTTATCATTTTCTTTTTACATTTGCTGTTACAGATATTGACGATGTAGAAAAGGAAATGCCAGGGTTCCTTGCAGCCACAGTCGAGTGGTTCCGTATTTACAAAATGCCAGATGGCAAACCTGCAAACTCATTTGCTTTCAATGGAGAATTTAAAAATAGAGTAAGCTGTTAGTTTCCTGTTTTAATTCATTGGTACAATTGTACACATTGTAGTACTCTCTCCATAATGTTGTTTCAATTTGGTTCAAAATTCCTATGTTACAGATTCTAATGCATAAATTGTCCATATGTTCCAATTTTCATGACTGATTTGAACATTCTCGACTGTGCGCAAATGAAATTTTAACTTGGTGTGGTGTAATATTCAATGTTGCTACATTGCTGGGGAGATAACTCTACAGATATTTTCAATCTTCTAAAATATGTGTAATGAAAAGATGATTATGTGATGATTCATTTCCAATATTTTCTCTGCCCTCTGTTGTAAAAATGTGAATTGTTCATAAAACTTGACAGGTTTGCTTTGTTATTTATTTTATTGTGAAGATTTTTGAGTTTAATGTTTGCTTCATTAGAGTTGGTATAAAATATGTTTGTCAATGAAGCTATACATGTATGAAGTAAATTGAGGCATTTTGAATTGTACTATAAGTCTCTTTTTCTAAATCATCTACAATTTGCCAGGAGTTCGTGCTTTGATTCTAGATTTGGCCTTCAAAAGGTTAATTATGTATTCATGGCCTCCGTTAGATCACTGGTAAATATCTATTTATTTCTTGTAGGAGTTTGCTTTAAATATAATCCAGCAAACTCATGAACAATGGAAGGAGTTAGTATCCCAGAAAACATCAGCAGGAGGTCTCAATGCGTAAGTGCCTTATTAAAGCTCTTAATGCACAAAGATTTATGGGATAGATTAACCTCTATTCTTAAACATATTAGGCATAAAAAGTATATGAATTGATTGGGAGTTGAACATTCATGATACAGTATGTTTGTTTGTTGGCAAAATAAACAAACAAACCAAAACCAAAATAAAAAATATGTGCACATGTTTCTGAATTTTCACTTTGAGGTTTTGACCCAATCAGAACTTATACATATTATTCAACAATATAAATAGTATCCAATTTATATCTTAAACTTACACATTGAGCCATCATGTTTCAGATAGAAAGGCATTTAGTTGCTTATACACTGAATTAACAAATATTTATCAGTGGAATCGAAATATTGCAAAACCTAATCAAGTTGTTGTATAAGAACCTCATGCAAATGTACTATTTTTCAACTGTTGAATTGTAACGGATGAAACTTTCATTTCAGGTCAAACACAAGTGTGGTTGGCAGCCCATTCCTGTTGACCAAGGATGATGCACAGACCATTCTTAATCAGGTGAATATTTAAATATTTTTCTATTCATTGCTTTAAAGTTATTAAATCCATCCCTTTACGTTGTAACAATATACACATTATACTCAAAATAGGTGAGTTTGTCTCAAAATAAATTACAAAATATGTTTATTATTTCCCTAAGTTTCCCTAATTAACATTAATTGGTGTTATTTGTGAAAATTATGCATGTTATTGGTGAAAATGTATCTATCTGTTCATGAGCTTTTAAGATGTCTTGAAATTCCATGATCTATGTTTTAGATGAATAATGTATGTTATTGGTGAATATTTATGTATGCTATTGGTGAACATTTATTTGTGTTATTGGTGAACATTTATGTGTGTTATTCCAGGCTCCAGCACCCTCAGGGGAAAGTCCACCTAGAGATCCTGAAGGTTTGTACCCTTTTCAAGACCTCACTATCATCACACTCTTTGAATTGGAGACTATTTGGTGATCTCGCATTTAGCTTTCCCACTGCAAAATATGAACTACTGAGGCTACATTGAAAAATTCTATGAACCTATGCAAGCTTTCAGATTATATTTGTTTGATATATTTTGTATAGATGGCATTAGTATCCAGGTTTTTGAGAATAGAGAAAATCGCACTCCAGTAGCATACTTGAAATAGTTGGGTAAGAAAGCAGTTATATAACACAGCCATTCATGCATGCTATAACATTGACATTGTTGAATACTTAAATGCCATAATACTTATATGCGCAAGGATTTCAATTTTTTTATTTCAGTTGACAAATGGTACTATGTTGGACAGTGAATGCTGTAGAAGGGGGAAAGTGTTACAAATTGTGATCATGACGAACAACGATAAATCTAGGACATCTTGGGTTTATACAGTGTATAGATGGAGAATATAGGAATATATTATAACTTATTTGGACTGAACTGATATTATATTAGTGTCTCCTGTATCGCCAATTAAAACTTAAGAAATGAAATCATGGACACTTCTATAAGAAGCACTATGCACTTTAGAATATTCTGTAAGAATATAAATTTAAATACTAATGTAAGGTACGCGTCTAACTTTATTTCAAATATATGCAAATATACAAAAATTTAGTATTTTCTCTGTTATCCAAAATATTTCATTCCAAATATTTCAAGTTAATGTCTAAAATCAGACATGGTTTTATTGTCACCACCAGTTGTGGCATATTGTTGCAGTCTCCAACATTTTTGTGGATGGTGTTCAGAGTTCGATGTTTGTGACAAATCTCAAGTTGTGACATTTTGCATCTTAATGCCTTGTTGAGGTTAAAAATTGTGAAATTGTCTTGAAAGTAATAAGTTTTTGTTGTTACATGAGATCAAAAATTGTGATATGTATTTATTGAGGTCAAAAATTGTGATATGGATTTATTGAGGTCTAAAATTGTGATATGGATTTATTGAGGTCAAAAATTGTGATCTGGTCTGATTGAGGTCAAAAAATATGATACGGTCTTATTGAGGTTTAAGATTGTGCTATGGTCTAATTGAGGTCAAAAATTGCGATAGGGTCTGATTGAAGTCAACAATTGTGATATGGTCTGATTGAGGTCAAAAATTGTGATATGGTCTTATTGAGGTCTAAAATTGTGATATGGATTTATTGAGGTCTAAAATTGTAATATGGTCTTATTGAGGTCAAAAATTGCGATATGGTCTGATTGAGGTCTATGATTGTGATATGGTCTAATTGAGGTCTAAAATTGTGATATGGATTTATTGAGGTCTAAAATTGTAATATGGTCTTATTGAGGTCAAAAATTGTGATATGGTCTTATTGAGGTCTAAAATTGTGATATGGATTTATTGAGGTCTAAAATTGTAATATGGTCTTATTGAGGTCAAAATTGTGATATGGTCCGATTGAGGTCTAAGATTGTGATATGGTCTAATTGAGGTAAAAAATTGTGATATGGTCTGATTGAGGTCTAAAATTGTGATATGGATTTATTGAGGTCTAAAATTGTAATATGGTCTTATTGTGGTCTAAAATTGTAATATGGTCTTATTGTGGTCTAAATTTGTCATATGATCTTATTGAGGTCAAAAATTGTGATATGGTCTGATTGAGGTCTAAGATTGTAACATGGTCTTATTGAGGTATAACATCTTGATTAGGTTTGAAATTTTGATTGGTTTTATTGTGGTCTAAATTGGGACATGGTCTTATTGATGCTGTGCATATGGATATGTAGGTTGTTAAATCACCCTTAAAATACTGATCCAGGTGGAGGAAATTAGAATACCTATTGACCAACCTCTTATACCTAAATGGTATGTCTTCAGTATGGGTTGGTGACAACTCTCTTTTATCTGCTCATTTGCTTGATTAGATGGACCTTTCCAATAAATCAACCCTTGATGAAGTGAAAATTATGAAAATCATCCTATTTCTGGTATAAAACTGACCAAAAGTATACTGGCATTATTTACTGTATTGGTAAACGGAGTGATTTGCAATTTTCAGGGATGCTTCTCCGAATGAAATTCAAAACTGATTAGTTTTGGGCATGCTGGGTAAGATTTAAGGCAGCAATCGTGCTTAGTTGTCAATCACTAGGTATCATTCATTCAATTCAGCTTTATTTGTTGGAGATTAACTGGCAAAGTGCAATGCACATCTTCATACAAATCAAATATGTACTTTCTTAACCTCAACATAATAACTATATTAATGTTACAAAATATTATTCTCCAACACTTCATATTGGATTTTCACCAAATATTATGGACATTCAACTTCAAACATCCAGGGACTCCTAAGGCTATTTAAAAAAGAAATGGGAACTAAGTGATAATGTTGATAAAAAGTACTAGATATAGTAGCGGTAGTCTTTTGACACCCTGATATCGGGGAACAAAAACAGAAAACAAATACGTATATTTTTTAATTTATAGAAATGACCAGTTTATTTTACAAACAATATATACTTAGATACCTTCAAGTAAAATATCAAGATGGCCAAATTGATACCAGATTTTCTATGAAGACTAGTGAAAATGTGACCACCAAGATATCTCAGTTAGGCTTACTTGTTGAGAATATTTCACTGTGACCTTAAGATCCCAAGTGTACCAGATATCACACATCAATGACTTTCCATCCCAAATAATTTTAAAACATTTTGCTGCCTCTTATCTGAGCATGTAAACTCTGGGTAAATGTCAACTTAATGATACACTGAGTATTTTTCACTTTTAAAATTTTAACAAAAAAAGTACAAGATGATTTTCTGAAAGCATTTAAAATAATGCAATCAAAATGTTTTAAAATTATTGACGGAATATAACATCATCTTTAAATGTGTATTACCCGTTAATTCAACCATACAATATTGCTCAACAAAACACAAGATTGGAACCACGAATATGCAGAGTTTAATTACCAAAGGATGTCATTGAGTAATTTCAATTAAATGCTACACAAGATGCATAATTCAAGCTGATACAAATAATTATATGACATCACATCAGATAGTATGCAATGAGCTCATCTATATGTATAAATTATTTTGTTGACATACACCAGAAATACTAAAACTCGGTATAAAGGTCACATGTTCAGTTTTGTCCAATCAGATTTTAGAAATCTCAGAATAATTACACATAATCTTGGGACTTAAAGCACTTTTCAACCCAAATATAGCCATAAATTCAGCTGATTGTCTTTCAAGTATAGCTCAGCAAGCAGCACAAAAATTAGAGATAATGAAAAATACAACCACTTCTGTTAAACAACTAAAATATTCCTTTCATGCTTTGACACTTGTGCTTAAAGATTTAACATGTAAGTCTCATTAAAATAACAAAAATTGTAAGTTCAGCTATCACATTTTTACGAAAGGTGAGTTGTACCTTTGAATTCTGCAAGAACATTTACAGCCTAAGGGATCTTGCCTGCCAACGTCATTTATACAAAAGATAAGAGGAAACTTGAATTGAAAACTCATTTTAATATTTCTTACTGCAATTTATGTTCAAACTTTTTTGCTGATGAGAAACCATGGTTACATCAACAAAAATGTTTGAGGCAGAAGATATATAAAGCTGTAAATGTTATCAACAAACGCTAATCATCACCATGGAACTAAACTAATCTAGATATTTCATTAAATAGTGCCCACATAAAATCAATACTATATCTAAGTTTATCTGTGTTGGACTAAAATCAAGGCCCTGACTCCCAGTCTTCCGTATTGTAAACCCCAGTATTCTATGTATATATTATACTATTATGCACATACTGGATGATACTTACAAAACAAACAAAACTCAACATAAAAATGACTTTCATTCTTCATTCAGTCTTCAAGACTCTTGGATTTACAAATAAGTGAACTGACAACATACTGAAGAAGACATTTCATGCTTTGTATGTGCATATTTTTACAACTTCTTCCTGTCTTGGACATAAGCTATTGCACAAAACATGTCATATGTTTCATAATACAAAGAACCAGAAAATATTTCACATATGCATGTTTTATAGGACTGTTCTACGAGAAAACATTCCACATGACTGTATTTTCAAAGTACAATGAACCAGAAAACATTCCACATGTGTGTCTTTCAAAGTACAATATGCCAGAGAACATTCCACATGTGTGTCTTTTAAAGTACAATGTACCAGAAAGCATTCCACATGTGTGTCTTCCAAAGTACAATGTACCAGAAAACATTCCACATGTGTGTCTTCCAAAGTACAATATACCAGAAAATTCCACACATGTGTCTTCCAAAGTACAATATACCAGAAAACATTCCACATGTGTGTCTTCCAAAGTACAATGCACCAGAAAACATTCCACACATGTGTCTTTCAAAGTATAATGTAACAGAAAACATTCCACATGTGCGTCTTCCAAAGTACAATGCACCAGAAAACATTCCACACGTGTGTCTTTCAAAGTATAATGTAACAGAAAACATTCCACATGTGTGTCTTCCAAAGTACAATGCACCAGAAAACATTCCACACGTGTGTCTTTCAAAGTATAATGTAACGGAAAACATTCCACATGTGTGTCTTCCAAAGTACAATGCACCAGAAAACATTCCACACGTGTGTCTTTCAAAGTATAATGTAACAGAAAACATTCCACATGTGTGGAGTTTCAGAGTCAGTATATGAGAAAACATTCTACATGTGCATGTTTTTATAATTACTTTACAATGATTTTGTAAAAATAATTCCATGGCCACTTAACTGCAAATGCATACATTTATAGTGCATTGATACAGGGGGCAGTTTCCTAATCCTAACTGCACTCTTGGATTTTCAATTTGTAAATTAAATCTTAACATCATTAACATGATGCATGAAATCCCAAACTTTAGTTCCTCCAAATGCTCAATAAAAGATTCATTTCCAGTGTTGAAGTTTAACTTATTTCACTGTTATTTCAATGTAATATTCCACTGTTAAGTTGAACTGTCTGGAACTCAAGCCACAGTAAAGTGTACAAAATATACCAACTTGGCAACTGGCCCCTGTCCATGAAGTAGGTACCAGCTTCACTTGAAGCATTGTTGGAGGCTGTGCTTTAGCCTGCCTAGTGTATTTTATACAAGTCTAGGTGCATGTGTATGAACTTAGTTGAAACATAGACAGTTCATACTAAAAATATCTGTTGTCTTATCAAAACAAACAAAATGATAATAATAACAAAACTGGAATTTTCTGCCAATTCACAAGTTGAGCTTTGGAAACTTCTGAACATTCTTTAGACACCTTTTCTGGCTTTATTTTCTAATAATAAACTTCATTGTTTATGATATCAAAAATATTCCAAAAGTTGGAACACATACATTTCTTCTCTTAAATAACACTAAACCTATCGCATTCAAATGTAATCTTTAAATATTATACATTAAAAGAACGATTATTTTGATAAAATTGAAATATGTAGACCATTTTGGTTTTGTGTTACTCTGACAAAACAACAGATACAAATTGTACATAGAAAACTTCAACTTTGTAAAGGCACTAAGTTTCCGTAATGAGCATTTTAACATAATTACAAGCACAACTTTATGTGTACACGAAATCATACAATATAACATTTAATGCATGCATCTAGAGATAAAATTAAAGTCTCCAAAGTTTACATATTTCTTCACCATATAAGATGATTATAAAATAAGCCAGATTTTTTGTATTGAAAACTCGCCACTTTAAATTATAAATTGAATCTACAATTTGAAATACGACTGCAGTAAAATATACATGTACAGAACATGTACTTGATATATTTAATTTCCTATGTCATTCATATTTAATCCAGACAGTTTCTCTAAAAAATAAACTAAGCACTGTGCCAAATTAACGTTTTTTCATTGTTTTTTTAAGATAAACATCATCTTTGCTCATTTCAATGTTTGTGAACATGGTTCAAGATTCATTTTAACACAAAATGTCTTACAAATGTAGAAGCAGTCATTTCCATCTTTGGGGCACAAAATATATTTTCTAAAATAACTACAAGGAATTACAGGATATTTTCTAACCCAAGTCCAAAATATGTTTTCCTGAAACATTCAACACAGGACTGCCTCTAAGTTTTACATGTGAATGTGTTTACTTATATAGAGAAAACAATGTCACAATGGCAAACTCTTCAAAGATTGACATAACATAGTATTTGGCATATAGGAGATGTCATAAATGCATAAAACCCAAAGCTATGGCAATTTCATGAAAAGAAAAATTCAACAATAGTGTTTTCTAATTGGTTCCCAGACATTCAAAAACAAATGTAGGCTATGCTCCTTAACTGAGTTTTCTCATAAAATAACATCTATTGAATTGAAATGCAGGATAAAATATATTTTAGTATAAATTATTTCAGTGAAAAGTTTGGTTACTAAAAATTCAACTTATTCCATGAAGTCTTTTTTATGCCGACATTGATGTCCAATGTTTTTTGCTACTGGACAAAAGTGCCATCTTTTGAGATCAACATGAAGTAGCCATAGATCTATACAATTATTCCATCTGAGTTTCTGTATATATCTGCTCCCGACCATTCAGATAATACAATCTAAAATGGCCGTAAAAAGACCATATATAAAACATATACATATTATATGATGAAACAGGTGAATATCGTACAAATGAGAGATGATTATTTACAAGGTCATTGATCAAATCAGGGTATGCCTCCAGATTAGATCAAATGTTTGTGAAATATTCCTGCAAATATTTTCACCTCCTTTCTGGAGAGCGCCCCTGTGTGTTAATTATGTTCCCAGCGGTGGTATGGTGTTGGCCAGCAATGGCTTGAGCTCAGCCATAGTTGTGTGCCCCGTGTTACCACTAGACCCTGGCTCATTGCCCTCTCTCTTAATGTTTGATTGAGGGTAATCTGGCTGTGAGGGAATAGAGCCAATTGTGTCCGCGGGGCTTGTTGGCTGGGATGAGTCTGAGACATCAGTGCCATCTTTGTTACTGACATTGTCACATTCCTCATCATCACTATCATCACCTAGGAAACGGATACACTTTTTCTTCCTCCTGGAATGAAGAGTTCCACTTACGATTAGAAAATTAGAAAAACGATATCAGATATACATAGGACTCATCCAAACCAGTCTGAAGTTGACAAAGAATAAAAATATCTTTAGCACAAATGCATGCGCATGTTCCTCATGCATTACTTCTAACCAAATCATGCCTAGAGGCACACACAATCTACACATTACTGGACAAGACAAGCACTGCTTCACAAAATCTAATCCAATGACTGGTGGCCATTACAAAAACTGATCTTCAATTGACCATTTGCAACTGGAATTCAATTGATTATCATAAATAATATTGCTATGCATTTTATCTTCATGGTATTTATAGGATATCCTATGATTTTGAGGAATATCATTTTTATCTACGAGGTGATATTGATATCTGCACGAGAGAGCGAAGCGAACGAGTGCATATATCAATATCACCGAGTAGATTAAAATGATATTCTGAAAAAAATCATAGGATGTTCTTATTATCCTACACTTACAAGGAGTGTACTGAATGTATAATATCATTGTAAAATGAATTTCATGCCAAATAGAGTCAATTTGGCGGGAAATCAACTAGCGGAGTATATCGTCACAATAACCTCCGTATATTGGGGTTTCCGGAGGATATCGTCATGATATCCTCCGCCCGGAGTATATCGTAACGATATCCTCCGGATATTCATTTTGCCAATAAATATCAAATTTATTTTTTCATGTTATTATACATTTAGTACACTAAGTGTAGGATAAGCTGTTATATCCAAAAATAGGATTAAATATGATAAAGACACAAAATGGCATGCAATCACAATTCCTCAGATAAGACACTTATCCAAAGATCAAAACAATTTTCAAAATAGTTTTGATATTTGTTATCAATAATTGTTTGTTCAAGTTTGTCAAAATTCAAGATAGATGCATCAGTTATTACTTATCTACAAGAATTTCAGAGTCATCGAGGACGTTTACAGGTGGCGAAGAATTGGAATCATTAAAACATTTTGTTAATGATAATTATTTGTGTAGGATTAGTTATGTGCCAAGTGCTGCAGCCTCATTTGTAACTGCAATGAATGGTACCTCTGCATATTCCAAAATGTTGATTTTCAAAATGAGGCAGACAGGAAGTTTTGTTAGGTTTAGCCAGTGGGTTTTTACCATTAAGTACTCTTAACTGAATCGGATGCAATACTGAGTAAGAATCTGGCTGTCTGCTTCATTTTCGAATATGAGATTTTTGGAATACGCCTAGTCATATTGACAACTTTACATTAGACATTACTCATGATTAAACAAAGATGCAGAAATGTATACCAACAAAAATTATGTAAATGGTTAGATAACGATGCAATGTAAACTCTGAATCCATTTCGTTCCACATCAGAATAAAACACAGGCTCAGAAAGTACAGAGTGACCCAAATGCACCAATTGCTCTAAATGAACCATGTGTATTAGACTTGTGTTCTAAAAAGGATTTTAATATGACATCTCAATGACCCGGGAATCTCATTTGTTCAACCCAGAAATCAAGGATCAGTCTGTTGACAACTTATAATGCTTATGGTAATAACAAATGTAGCTTATGATAATAATTTTGATAAAACATACAGACTAAATAAATGCCATCAACTTTTGGTCTGATTGTAAACAAACCAATTGTGTTAACTAAATTAACACGTTTCGGAAACTGGCAAACCTAAATATTCAAATAAAGAAAAATAAACGTTTATGCCTATCATAACTTTCTTATGGCTTGCCTTAATATGGTAATCTGTTACAATATGAGAAGTATTTTGATGTTTTGTCAAAAAATAAGTCACAATCATGACATCGAACAAATAAGCACTTTACAATAAACAAAAGTTGATGTTTAAACAGAGAAATTCTTCTTAAATAACTGACAATAGAATGAGTCAACATCTAATGACATCACTGACCCATTCTAGTGTCACATGTTATGTATACATCCAAATGAAATCACCAGAAACTATGAATAACACAATCCAGCTGTGAGATTTCATGTGGATGAACATTTTGGTAACATATATTTTCAACAAGGTGTAAAGCAACCTAGCAGGGGAAATATACTGGGAAAATATGCACAACACCACGCTATACAGTACTGTAGCCCAAAAGCAGGTTCTTCTTACATTAAATAAATTCAACGCCAAAAATATACTCACTTCAACATCTATAGAACAATGAACAATAAGCATTCCTTATATAATTTTCTAAAATAGATCTCAACATTTATTTCACAGTTTTGAAAATTAAATTCATTGCCCTTCCCAGATTATTTCCACTGACTGTACTCCCTTACTGTCAACTAGGCCAAATGTCTTGGTTCGTAAAACTTTAAAAACGAGTTTTACTTAATTAAATCTTAAATTTTGAATTATATGATGTAAACAGTTGCTGCTACAAGCCTTTGTTCACAACAGTAAAGAATTGCTCAAGACACCATAATATTGTGACATACAAAAATTGGCCAAGGGGTCCATTTCCCACATGCGACATAAAGGCCCCTCGAATACATGCTGAAACAATATGTCATCCGAGAACATGCATTCTGCTCACAAACAATGTTTACCCACTTAGAGGCCCACGATCCTTGACAAGTTGAGATACAGCACCTAGTGACATATGTGTTGATATCCTTTAGTAAATTGCATAGTTAGTATCTTAAGTAATTTTTATATTAAATTAATTGTAATGCAATTTAGTGGAGATGTTTCAACGAAGACCTAATTGATGGAAAGATGTTGTTAATTGTGTGTGATATCTCAATTTGTGCTGTTTGAGTGACTAAGTTTGGATAACATAACTTGTGAGCCATTTACAGGAAATATATAAAACAACATCGTGCAAGCGGAAAGATCCATGCCCTCATGCGCCACCTAGTGATTATTCAAGGAACTACCTTGTCAAATTTTTGACGGAGAAACATCTATTCTGTCGAGGCCACTCTCTATTTTAACGGAGGGACTCAACGAACATGGGGAAAATTGTTCGCAAGCTAGATGGTCATCTTCCGATCTGAAATATTTGAAATGTTAATGAAGAGATATTCTGAGACACCAGTGTGTATGAGACACCAATAAAACATGAGCTGAGCTGAACTACATGCTACAAAAGTCACTTAGAGAGGATAAATAAAATATATGTTATGTGTGCTCCTCTCAAATCAGATAAAGTATCACATCAATGGTAGGATCATTTTAGAAGTTTTTATGAAATACTGTCTTACCTGCATGGTTTACACCATTGACTTTGCTGATCTAAGCCAAACCGTGCTCTACATTTTTTAGGATTTAAACAATCTGAAAAAGAGGACCAAAAATTTATCAAAATTTGTCCAAACACAATCACAGATTTAATCATAAAATCCTGTTAACATTACAGACGTGCAGAAAAGATTGGGAAAATCATAAAAAGAAATGAGAATAATTCATCAAAACTTTTTTGAAAATCATCAGCCGATGTTTAATTCTTTACAAGCACAATAAAACAAGTTTTATATTGATTTTATTACTTTTAAATTATATCTTTTTACAAGACGCAACCTATTAGATATTAAATTCAAGCTCTGCACTTTTCGGTTTCCTTGAAGATTGAATGAGTTTGAACCGGCAGTGATATAACTGTCAACTTGAACAGTTCTTGTTAATAAACATACAGATTTTACAATTAATTTAAATCAATTTTATTGCAGTTGTAGTTATTATTTAAATAAGCATAGAGAATTTGAACTTTTATTGCATCCATAACAAGCACATGCTTCTAAAAAAGTCACTGAATGTCATTAAAGTGTAGTAAAATAGAAGTAAATTTGGTTTAAAACAGCAGTAAAAATTCACAATAATTATCATATGCTGACATTTGTATAATTATAAATTCAAATAAATAATACTCATTAATGTTCCATCTGTTAGGAATAATTGGCTTCAAACTTTACTTGTTTAGATTTTTTTGATTTTTCTCAAATGTCACGACTTTTTTGCATGAGTCAGTAAAAACAAATTATCAAGTAAAACTTCTGAAATGTTATAATGTCGACCATGATTATTAAACTAACTAGTGCATGTCTTGATGCAAATTAGAGGACTTATTTTCCGAATCTCAACTGGGATTTTCCCTGCATATCCCAATACATTTGCTGAATAACTAGAGGTACATATTAAAATATCTGCTACAAATGGTGGTCATTGGCAAATTCATCTTTAACCAATCTCCAAATAAAGGGCTAAATACCAATTCAGATAGAAAACAGAAGAAACTGAACTGTACTTGGAGAATGGTCTATATTTCAAATAGAAGAATTATATTACGACCACCAGAAGTAAGACATTTGATCACCTTTGTCACCTTTATTTTCTTCCATTGAGCTTCTTTTTCGTTTCTTCTTCTTGGCATGACTTGCATAATTATCCCTAGCTGACCAACCAGGGTAGAGCTGCATGTGTAGCTCCTTCTCTTTACGAGCCATCTCATAATACTTGGCCTGCTCTGATCGATCCAGGGCATGCCACTGAAAAACAGCATTATGACAGTCAGTAAAATTCATCTAATACATAACTGCATGAAAAAACAAGGCATTAATATGCAAAATGTCACCACCTGCCATTTATTACAGATGCTGAACTCCAAATGCTGATCACCAGATGACAAATACCAAACGCTGAATACTGTCCACAAAAAAGTAGAGAGTATAACAATATGTCACCACTTGTGATTTTGAACAAAATAATCCTATGGAAAAATTTAGGTCTATCTGTAGGTATACAGCAGCACACAGTGTATATGTACTATCAGGGGTGATGATGTATAGCAACTATTATGAAAAAGAAAGTATAATCCTTATTGTAAAATGTTAATATTGAAGTCATTTGACAATTTGAGGATATAAAACATAGATCCCTAATGCACATTAAGATTAAAATGTATTGCTTGATTTTCAAGCATCTTATCTACAGAAAATATTTGTGGCTTGATGGGTTTTTTCCATGGTTACAGTATTCATTTATTAACATTAGTTTCATTGAAAAAGCTTTTACATAAGAAGGCATTATGGCAGAAATTGAAATTGTAATTTTACGACCTTCAGCCATATAAAACCATGGTGTAAAATATCAAGTAATTTTGATAACGAATAGTTATTAATTGAAGATATCGTCATCCTTTTCATGGAGAAAAGATGCCATTTAAGGAGGCGTGACACTATTAATTATTTTACCATTTATGAGCTAATGAATGTGATAGAAAACAAAGGATTGGTGATCATCATTTTCAACCTTACTATCTTTCTCAGTTATACCCTCCCTCTAATTCTATGGCTACTGAATCAATAATTGTGATCTAAATACTATTAAATTCATGGCAGTTCACGGAGTTCCATTTTTCTCATCTTTTCACATGTGAAATCCATTTCTTCAGTTACAATATGAATATTTATTTGAAAAGATTAAAACAGGAATTATAAATCATAAAATGGGTCTAAAATCCTTGTCATGAAATGCTTCAGCAAATCATATTATAATTCTAGTTCTCTATGACAAGCATCACATTGTAACATTTTATGTAATCTTAAATACTATAGAACTGATAAGATACTGACACGCAAATGTTTTCCAGTAAGCTATTGACCTGCCAATGTATATGGTATCAAAGCAAGTAGGGGGAAATATGCTTAAAACAGAATGCTACCTGACGAAAACTCCTTTATTTAAATGAAAAACACATGAGTGGCACTACAATCATATATCAAATGACAGATAATAAATTGTTTTGTACAAATTATGGTTACATATTTTCACATATATCAAAGAAAGAAATGCACCAAGTTACACTCTTCACAGAAAAAATAGAACTTCCACCAAAAATGCTATTATTGTAGATTAATAACAAATGACTCAAATATCACAAGAGGATGAACATGGAAAATTAGTTGTTAAGGAGAATAATGGTTCTACTGTTTTTTCACTTATTTCAAAAATAGAAATGTACCAAGATACACAATACAGGGAAAAACTGAACTTCCGCAAAAAAATCCTAGATTCCTAAAATCAGATTGTAGAATAATGATAATAAATGATGCAAATGTTTCAAAAGGGTAAAGCATCTATTTGTATCATTTCAATTATGTCCACAGAAAAATGCATTAATTGTGTACAGAAGTTTCATGTATTCCTTTGATTCTCTAGAGGGGCTTCTCATTATCTCTCCCCTGATTAGAGAGAGAGTATTAAAGTTAATGAATGTAGCATGTTAAGCGCAAATTACAACACTGGATTTCACTTTCACTGGAAACATTCAAGTTGTCAACCATAGAAATTTGTGACTCCAAAATAGGAACATAGGTTTTCATTTTCAAGCTCCATCGCACTGTGACGGTACATTTTAAGGATGTCACATTGTCACAAATCAGGCACAGGCAAAAATATACAAATATTTTGAAATCATATCAGCAGCCTGTATGGTACTTAAGATATAAATGAAAAAGAGTTCAAAATATTATGAGTTTATTAACAGCTTATATTAGATTAACAACTTTGGATATAAATAAAGTAAAAACTATTTTGAATTTACACTAATATCTTGTTTTTAATTAACAACTTTTGATATAAATAAACTAAGAGTGTGAAATATACAAACATTTCAGATTTCTATGAAAAAGCTTTTACCAAATTAACAACACCAGATAAATTAAATAACTCCAGAGAAAATCACTAACTTTTACTTTGGACAAAAATATGTACAAGTATGGACAGATATTCATAAAAATCATATGTCCGTTCATTTCCTTTTGAAGTTCAGAATATCAATCAAAAGTTATCTCAACATTTAACGAAGGAATTATCAGCCTTGAATAACAAAAATATATGAAGCAATTAGTTAAGTACAGTACTTCCATGTTGGGTCATGATTATAAAAACTTAATAACTTTGTTTTTAATAACAAAATAGTGTCGTGTAGGAAGATGATAAGTGATATACTGTATGTAACAATATTTTCTAAATATTAATAAAAAATCAGTAATATAGGATACTAGAGTAGTATTAGTATATCAAATCTAAAACATTTCCTTTTGCAGGAACTGAACTGGTTCCTCAAAATTCAGATTCCAATTTTCAGATTTGGAAGATGTTTTGCTGATGTTTAAGTGTGAAACTGAGCCTTATTTGCCATACCCTACACCTAAGTCTGACAAGGGACCAATAATAACAACATTAGTAATTATACAAGATATTTCATGAGCTACTGATATTGGATAAATTAATTGATTTTCCTTTGTTGTCTTCTATTCTTGTAATACTAAACATAAGAATATGAAGAGAATGCAACTAAATACTCTTACTCCTAGAAAAACGATCCTATCAATCTTAAATGTGTATTGTTTCACTCAAGAATATTAATGTATTTTTTATTTATTTTTACACCGAAATGTCGATTTAATGATTGGTTGTTTAGTCGTATCGTTTTTATAACTCCGATATCTCTAAATTACTTAGTGGCATATAACACAAGTATGATGACACAACGCAAGAGCCTTGAGATGTATCTCTTATTGCATCTTTCATCAAATGAAAGAAAGCTTTGAATAGGTATTAATAGCTATATAGCAATTGTGTATTAGCATCATTTAAAGATACATGGGTTATTTCACATGATATACTCAACATACGCATACATGTATCAGTTTGCAATATTACTTAAAATGTGTGTTTTTAAATACACATGTATAGTATAAGTATACATATTGTTGATTCTATATTTGGGGGATCTCTCAAAATGTCATACTAAATATGTAATCCATTTTGTAAACCACCAGATTACCTACCTGTTCGCACCATTGTTAATAAAACATATTTTGAAAAAACTTTCAAAAACGTTTTTCATATATTTTTTCAATAAAATGGCTTTTTAGCAATCATCTAATAAAAAAATAAAACAGATTATGTGTAGAATTAAGTTTTAGTTGCATCAATATGAAAGAACAGTTTGGGTAGGTGGCACTGTAAGCATGCATTGAATATTAGCTGCCCAAATAAGTCAACTTGTTGAAAATCTTGGTCATCAAAACAAGGCAATACTCAATTTGATTGACTTCAAAAAACATGCAAGGTCAATAAAAATCTAATGTTATATTGCAAAATTTTGGAAAAGCTGTACGTTTCATAATTTGCTTGCCAATGTTGTTATTGTGTGTAAAATTATTTGTGAACTTGAATTTAAGTTACGTCTGCTGATTGCAGTGCATTATGGGTAAGGTAAATTGGCAGCATACAACATACACATGCATGCTTAGTCAGGCTTACCTTGCGGCCGAGGATCTGATTGATCGCAGCCGACTCTTTAAGAGTGCACTCTGCAATCACTTGTGCCCTTTGTTCTTTCATATAGAGCATAAACGCATTGAGAGGCTTTTTGATATGATTCTTTTTCTTGGTAGGGGGTTCAACATCTGAATCAGTATTTTTCTCTCCCCCATCATGGTAACCCGGATGCCTAGAATGAAAAGTGGAGACGTGAAACAAGACTCTCCTTCTACCCGACTCACCTTACGTCCTAACATTTGATTAACTTGCGCAGACTCTTTCAATGTGCAGTCCTTGATGACTTCCGCTCTTTGCTCCCTCATATATAACATAAAGGCATTTAGAGGTTTTTTGACATATGGGGCCTTCCGTTTCTGTCCCCCTTGATTGTTGCAATTATCTGCACTAGATGGTCTGTGGGGGTCTTCTTGAGCAGACGACATAAGATGATTAGGCGTTCTACAAATTTGAAACACATTTCAATATAAACATATTTTTCCAATAATTTGGAAAATAAGGTAGACATCGTACATGTATGTATCAATAGATACTAACAGTGCCTAACAAATTTGATACCACAAACGAAAGTCACATTTCTATTCAAAAATTATAAAATAGTCAAGTACGTTATTGAGAGAAACGGGTCAGTCTGAATTATAGTTATGTGTAATGATTCAAAATTGATATTTCTGCATGTTTATCGTTTATTTATGATGCATTTGATATTTTGCAAATTTGTCATTGTTTATCTAATCAAATTCTATTTTATAATGTTTCATTGATGTCGACACATTATCTTGACAATTGATAGAGTTTGGTCATCACAAACACTTGATCAGTGATGTAGGTGACATGTGATTTGTTGCCATGACAAGACAATACAATTAGTTAAAAACAATTGTTTATGTTTTCAACTGCTTGCTTTACAACTTATACTTCAGGTGTAGTAAGAATTTAGTTCATGCCGATCTGGAGTCTGAATATAAAATTTTAACAAATCCAATGTCAAAAATAACTGCTATCAAGTCTTAAAATCATCACCAAAATAGAGACAATTTTTTACTTAAATTACATTCCTTAAAAGTATATTAAAAACCTGGGATACATGTACTGGACATTTGAATGACTGCAAAAAACAACTAATAATTGGTCCTATGATATTTGTACTTTAACATTCCACCCTTAATCCCATCAAATAGGCAAACTTCCCCTCTGACTATAGCGGATAAGTTTTCAGTTTTGAGGCTGATAAGTTCTTAACAAGCTCAAATGTAGTTTTTGTGGCATTTTATGCGAGTTTGAAAGTGACATTAATGTAAGTAGCAGAAATAATGTCTCATGATTTTTTTAACTGCATACTCTGATTGGATATTGGCAAGATCGAAGAATTGTCTCTTATTTGAAGAGTATATACAAGGTCAAGATTTTAAGAAGGGTAGCAAAAATCAAGAATAATGTATAAATAATAAATGTTGTATTTTGATCATCTTATGGATTGGCTGCTTCAAAGCTGGAAGTACTCGAAACACATACAGTTACAGATCAGGCCTCTTAGACATCAAAGCAAGGCAGGAGCACTCCCATGAGTCTAAGTTAAGGTCATGTGAATTAATCGACCAATCAGAAGTAAGGATTATAGAAGTGGAGTAAATATTCATGGTACTCAGTAATCGTGTTTAGACTTCAAAGCCAATCTGTAATATGGTAGCAATTCCTAATAAATATACAATTTAAACCAGACGCCACGAAACTTAAAAATGAAAAAATGAAGAAAACTGCGCAAAATGAATGAACATCATAGAAAATCTTCACATATATTTTAAATCTTAATAATATGTATTATTTTGATGAGTGATCGATAGGGTAAACTGTTTGTTTATTTCAACTTGATGCAAAATGCTTATCAAGATCTTTAGCATGAAATATATAATGATTTTTAACATATACACACCTGGCTTCTCCCAAAGGGGTAAAAGCTAATTAACCTGGCGAACAAGTTTCTCCCTAGGGAGATTATGGGACATATGTCATTGTTACTACTTAATTGTGGCATCAATTTGCATCATGCCTAAATGAAACAAACGTGTTATTTCTGACAAAAAAAACAACGATACATTCCGAAGTTTGAATTTTCTATCTATAGAATATAAATAACAAATAAACGATAAATAATTCAGACGACCAGTTTCAGAATAATAATTATTCACCAATCCCATCGCAAAATCAAATTATTCCCGATTATATTATCTCAAGTTTTCCTCATAATCTACAGAACAAAACTGGAAACCAATCAAAGAACAATCGAAATACAGGCCCCAAGCATGTTTGGGATTAACTTTAACTCTATTAAAGAATTAATTTGAAAATACAAGATATTTGCTTTTGATGTTTGTTTGATGTTTTAACAGTACTGCTCGTAGATCTCATTTAAGTCCTACTACAGAATACAAAATCACCGTATCTGAATCTAAAAGAAACTCTCGATGCAACTAACTATAAAACAAAGCAAAGAATGATATTAGAACTGAAATTGTGACCTAACAGGAGAGGAGACTAGTATAGATTAACTTTATAAAAAATAATACATGGTAACCCAATCAAAATGTAACCTAAGAATTATTTCTGGGTCAACATGTACATGAAAAATCATAGAATCTCAGTCTATCTGTCCAATATGATTTAGGGAGAAGAGGAAACAGAGATACTACATGTACATAGATAAATAGGAAATTTTTTTTGTCATTTTGAAATCCTGGAGGTAAAGAAAAACTACTCTGAATGAGTAACTGATCGGTTAAATTAATAAAAAGATATATTTTAAGAGTGGAAAGAAATGTTGATCATCAATTTTATTCATTTTCTAGTTTGCTTAGTTTGCAAAAATAGACATATACTTTGATGAAAACAAAATATTTATTTTTTGCAGAATATTATCCAAAAGATTAACACATAAATATTAATATAAACTTGTTAATATAGATATTAAATATAACTGCCAATTAGCATGACTAGCACATTCAAAGTGCAAAAAACTTTTTATAAGAACTTTTTTGAGATTTAAGTGCAAACCTATCTAATAAATGTAGATTGCATTAACTTTTGGAAAAGTGGTAGTATCCCTATAAGAAGTAACATTGCAATGTCGTTTGTTGCCATATGTCTAATTAAATAACTGCTGACCATGCATATTCTAACTAATGTAAACAAACAAACAACAACAAATAATATAATAAAACTATTTTCATGTTTTGAAACTCTTATTCTTGCATCAAGTTTACCCCCCCCCTCCTCAAGTCATCTGCCTTTTTAAAATGAAAAATGAGAAAAAATGAAAATGACCCACTTGAATGGTAATGAATGATGAAAAAGAACACAATACCTTTGATTTTCATCTGATTGTAAATGTGGGGGTAGATGGTGGTCCTTATGACCCTGAAGCAGAGGATGATGTGCCAAGCCCGGGGGAGGAAGTCCCGGATGGTGGTGGAGGAGACCCTGCGATGTAAACCGTGACAACGTCGGTGACGAGACCAGTGACGTTGGGTAGGGTCCTGGATAAGAAGTTGTGATCGGATATAATGGCCGGTTCCTGGAAATACAATTTTCAGATCATTTTAATATTTTCCATATAAGGTTAAAACATGGCAATCTATCTATGTACCAACTTCTACATTTTTTCTGCCCTTCATTGTGAAGCTAAAGAAATGTAACAACTCTATCTTTATACTCTTGAGCCATACCATATATAAAATTCGGTCAATCACAATATCTAGACAACCCAAGAATTTTTCATATTTCTATAATTCAACATTTTTATATCTGATGAAATCATCATATCGTAGTAACAACAAAAATATATTACATTGGTATACTCTCTACAAACACAGGTTTCTTATCTGAAAGTTATCGTAGCTTTGGCCCATAAATATGCAATATTTCATCTAGTTATGCTCTCCCCTTAGAGCCAGGGCTATTAGGGTTCCCTGATGAAACCCTCTCTAAGTAGAGAACGATAGCACAACAAAGATAACCAGGTATATAGGACCACTATAACACTGACATAAAACTCTAGGATTCTTATATAGTGCTGACTAAACTATCAAATCAAAGCTTCAAATAAAACAATCACCTCTAGATAATTACGTTAAAAAAGTGAAAGTACCCATAGGTCAAGGGTTGGGTGATAATAGCGCGAGATCAAAGTAAAATACTGTATGCTAAAACTTGCCAATTACAGACTTGTATCACTGTGATTCATTACCTAATGTAGACTTGCGCATTCTCATTCTAATTTATTGACGATTATTGCCATTTTTACTTCACTTTGATGCCGTAATGGCACAAACTTTCTTCCTTGGTGTTATCTCTGACAAGATAACCAACCGTATCTGTTATAGAGGGAGGGGATCACTTTAAATTTGCATGGAAGGAAGAGGCCTAATAAGTCCCGGGACATTTTTGTAACCTCTAATTTATGCAATATCATAGAGAAATTCTCTCGACTAAATACAAAGGAGAGCAACAAAAATGATTACAAACACTGGCAGACAAATCATATCAGGAAAGACTTATGAGTTTAAAGGGAAGGCATGATTCTAGTATTTTTCAGAAGAAATCGATTTCAAAATTATTTTCCGTTTTAATTATTTATTTTGAACATGCATTTTCATATGACAAGAAAAACCATGTCATTACTAAAACATATTGAATACATATTTATATATATTTATATTTATTCCAGCTTTCTCCCTATTTTTTTTACTCAAGTGAGAATTGTTCTCATTATTCTGACTATTCTGACCAATCATGAAAAATATGCCAAGGTTTCATGATTTACCTCATTTTAGGCTGCACCTCCCTGAAAATGAGGTAAAACATATAACATTGGCATATTTTTCATGATTGATCAGGTCGATGCAGCCTATTTTCAAAATCTAGTTAGTGCAACACCCAGATGCTGTGGAGATCACTTGGATGAAAAATTTGTTTTACTCACCATTGCACTGAATCTGGAGAGTAGGGGTGACTAAATTGGCCTGGGGGTGGGGGCAGAGGATACATGGGATGACGGGGTAGCCCTGAAAAACATAAAGCATTTATAACATTAATAACAAGGTTTATCATGTTCATATTTTACCAAGTACAAACAATTTAAGTTAACTGCCAGTTGATAGTCACAACCAGGTTTCTAGTTTGAGTCAGAAAACATGGCAGACAGGGAACTGGAAAACCTTGAATAATCAAAAGATCTAACCTTTTTGAGTATGAAAATTATATGATTTAAAATGCATTCAGTAAAAAAATAAAAGTTATAATTTGGGGAATTTCTATTACAAATTTTATTCCTTTTTCAAATTTCAAAATTCATGGAATAAAATATTATAATTTAAGAATAAGATATCATGGCACTCATGCTGTCAGATGCCACCGATTATTCAAAATAATTGTATTTTACAACAGATAAGAAGTGGCATAACTCAGCAACACAATACACCAGCATTACTTTATCGTATCTTTCATTGCCATTCCACATCAGTGACATGATACATTAGTCACTAAAAATATTACAGTTACCAATACAATGCAAAATGAAAAAAATAAATAAATAATATGCATTTTCTTATTAACACTAAAATCATTGATTATCTGAATACTCCACACCCTCTTTCTCCATCGCATACATTTTAACTCTCAAATTATATTTAAATATAAAATAAAAATGTTTTCAGTAAATCACCTCTCAAAATTCAAAATATTGATCATAAAAAACATTTTAAAAATATATATAAATCTACCCTGTAAACTATTTGAATAGATCCACATGGAATTTGACGGAAGTCTTGCAGATTCATGCTCTTGAATCAATTTTCGATGCTTGGAATCCTCATCTATTTGAAACATTTTTGCCATTTCTTTATTCCGTTTCAAAGCCATTTTAATATAAGTCCTGATTCCGTACTTATGGATACTATAGTTATGATATTCTACCACAAATGCAAAAAGAAATTTAAAAAAAATAGTGTGGGATGAAATTTGTCAAATTAAGATAATAAACAAGTATGTAATATTATTTATATAGAATATATAAATATATATATTTTAACAGGTATGGTAATTAATAGGTAGCTGTCAGTGATTATTATACTTAACGCTAGGTAGTGATTTCAATTAACAAATTATTCCAAAATGAACATATCAAATACAAGATATTGTTGTACTTTTATGTTACACCAAAGACAAAAAAGAGCCTTATGCTTATGGTGGAAATCCCTTTAATTCTACCTATTTTATTAAAATGTAATACTTAACCAGTTTCAGTCTTAGTTTCCAACAAAAATATTTTTTATCCCCTTGTATGTTGATAATCATTATGTATTTATATTTATTTTGTAGCTTTTTTATTTATACTTACCTGTGGTGAAGCACTAATCTCTGCTGCTATTTTAGTTTATATATTTATAGAATATTTTCATTCATTTTTCATATATTCCTCTATAATACTATCATACATAAAAATGCTTTTACCGGTTTATAATTTCTAGTTTCGTTGGGGAACTAGATATGTGAGTGTATGAAAGTGATTTTTTAATTCTTCCATAAATGCAAAAGTAATTTGGATTCACCATCTTTGGTCATAAGTTGATACTATACATTCAGGTCAAATTCACTTTTCAAGGTTTGAAGATGACCCCAGAGTTAAGAGTAATACTGTACCATAAATGATAAATAAAGGACTTTATATTCTGATTAAATGATAATATTGAATATTTTTACACACAGAATTATCATTTCCATAATATACAGCAGATCACAATCATCGTTTCAATAAATGTAATATTCATATGCATTTAATACATACAAAAAATGAATAAAAACCTCAAAAACTAGCTCCAGATCAGTCACCGAAGGCTTATCAATAGTTATTAAAACACTATTTATCTCTCTTGAGCCTAAAAAGGCTTAGCCACCCTGATAGCATTCGGTGCAGATCAAAGTGAAACTTCAAAGAAAGCAAGCCCTACTACAGCAAACAAATAAACAACATTCAACTTGCCTTGGTCCATGATCTCAACGTTGATTCAATCTAAAACAGACTTCTTCGAAATTTTCAATCAATTTTTTTCTGTTGCAGAAAAATCTTGCCAATTATATTTTCGCGTTCTCTGGTCCTTAAGTTCCGAGAAACAATGTTGATTCTAGTGTCGTCTGCTCAACAAGTGTGGTCAGAGTGAGGCTGGGATGATTTTCACCTATCACAAGCTTTCAATTTTTGATGGATGGCTTTTCAAAGGTTTTTCATTCGTATGATCTCCTCTTGAAATCTACTATTCTCAGATAGTGGTAATTAGAGAATCCAAAACACTGACTTTCATATATTGATGCTTTCAAAGGCCTTTTAACATATGACACCTGTGATCTTCGATATGTGATTGAAAAGTATCTTTTTACGAGACCCCACACACGTATGAAGTTCCCACACCAAAGACAAATCGGGACATGATCAATAAAATAAAACAAAAACAATTGGTGTCTATTATTCAAGACCAATTCTTTCTCTAGTAATATTGATAAAAAAAATAAAGCAATTATGGCACGCATTAGGGTAAATAATAAAAGAAAATTGAAGAATTAGGAGTAGAAAGAATTACACCGAAACACTTGTATAACATAAAAAGAGCAGAAACGCTCAAGTGGTTGTTTTAGAATATTGACAAAGCTACACTAGAGTAAAGTGAAGTGGGGGAGATCTCCTTTCAAAAATCAAAGATCCTACAGCTATCATGAAGACCGCCACTACAGAAAATCAAAATATCAACATTTTCCAATAACATTAAGAAATTCAACATAAACTGTGGATACGCTTATATTTTGAACTCAAACTCTAACATCAAAAATATCCATTTCTTAAGAAAAATGCTTTTAACTTTAGATAAAGTTTTATAATAATTCTGGCTTGAATATTCTTAGTGATTCTGGTTTGAAAGAATATTTCTCCCAGGTTTTCATGATGTACCCAGAATCACCTGTTAAAGTACACCAATAGGTGGCACAATGCCATATCACCAATAGTCTTGGAGGACGCACTCATCTTAAGTGAAGCAAATACAGCAAGAAATTGTTATAAAGAAACATGATTGTATTGATGAAGTAAAATTTAAAATCCAAATTACATCATTACTTATTCAAATGTTGAATATATTTGATACATTATTTTCAAAATAGCTTAACTTTGAAAACAAGCTATCACAGGAAATGAGAAAAAAAAAAAAAAAAAAGTAAAAATGATTTTTCTGAGAGTCTGGTTAAAGTTAAGTTTGTGGCCGAATCATCCCCCATACAGAGCTGTTTACCTTGAGTTAAGTGCCGCCACGACCCTATTTGGTCTTCAATAGAAACTTTGATTGACGTGTCATTTATCATCATACCCTCAGAACAATAAATTGTTCCAACTGTATATCGCTACAATTGTTGCAGATTCACCTTTTCATTGAGAGCCAAGTGTTACAATATATCACCGATAAATCTACCTCCATGGAACACTATCCCAGCAAGCATATGTCACCCGTGGATCAAACCGTTCAACCAGTCTCAGGACCACGGCCATTTTGTTTTCTGTTAATTACCAAACATTGGAGAGCTTTGTTAGGGAGGTGTATCCTGACAGTGATGAATAACCTCATTAATCATTTAGGAGGACAGAGAAGACACACGGCTTACTTTGTAGCCTACCGACCCTCCATATCGCTAAATCTGCCTCTATCCAAACCTAGGAGTTGCTTTAAGTCCCGCTGCGAGATCCTAGACTGAGTTCGATTTATCACTGATAATCTTGTAACAGTTGTCAATGAAACAGAAATTGCTACATTTCCACGGTCATTTTTTCTCATTGAAAAAAATCGTCAACTATTCAGATCTTTTGTGAGTTGTGGAATATTTAGTTTCCTGTGATTGCTACATGAAGTTGTGTATGATGAGGGAAGCCCATTAATCATACGTTACAAATCTATTGGACATTTTAACCACCATAGCCAAAATTGAATGTAAAATTTCCCAAAAACAATGTTTGATTTCACGTCTGCCTGGTTTTGACACACCGATTATACGTCTAATACTTTAAACTCCATTGAAAATCACTCAAAAAGTTTTATTTTGACAAGAAATTGTGCTGCCGTGGAAATAGTATTATAGGAAAAGTACCGCAACTGTCTTTATTCTCTCATCTCTAGCTCCATAAATCATCATACAATACAGATATGACACTAGCAAAGTTGCTATTAATCAAGTCCATGTCAAATTGTGGCTAAAATACATCTTAAAATGTCTCTGTTTGATGTCCAAAATATTGTTATAGAAGGCTCACCTGGGTATGCAGGAGTCCGAATGGTCAATTGGCCATAGCTCGCATACATGTCAGTAAAAATATATACAAATGTCAATCTCTTGCGATTCAAAGCGATAAAACAGAATATATAGCTCAATATTCACTTTCGGTGGTATCATTAATAAGTTTGTTTGCAGTTCTATGATTGATTCTAAAGTTATATGATATAAGATGATCAAATGGGGTGATATGACTTTGTACATGCAGTATCATTATTTCGTGAACATCAATATAATTAAATTTTTTAAAACTCGGTTCAAAATGTATATTTTATCTGATAATAGGCAGATAGCAGTTGCGTTTGATCCTGAAGTATAATAGTGTTGTTGGTGAAAAATCATTTATTTATCATTTAATCAAAAATATAACGACACTCCATGTGTGGGCTTTGTAGATGTCAAATGCTTTTTTAAAAGCTATAATTGTATCATTTTTTATTATTTCAATGATACATTTCAATGACAAAAGAAAAAAAGTAACTTTAAACAAGTTTTATAAACACGGCACTTTGCAAAAAGCAGCTAACATTAAAATGATGATCCAAAATTTCAAGAGTCTTATGTGTGACTATATTTCAATTCAATAAAACACTGCATTGGTGGGAGTATAAGACGATCTTTGGGATAAAGAAAATTGTTATAGTTCAAGATTACAATCATGTTGTTCTATGGAACTTGTTCTTTCCTTATGAACCCA